GTGTATATGTGTGTGATATATGTGTGTGTGTGTGTGCGTGTTGTGATGTGTGTTTGTGCTGTGTGTGTGTGTGTGTGTGGTGTGTGTGGTGTGTGTGTGTGTGCATGATGTATGTGTGCATGAGTGCATGTGTGTGTGCGTGTGTGTGTGTGTTAGTAATGTGGTATTAGGGATCAAACTCAGCCTCATGCATGAAAGGCAAATGCATTCTCTACTACTGAGCTATGTTGTGGATTTTTTTCTTTAATTTGCTAATTATAATTTCACTGAACAGAGAACCTTTAGTTTTTACTATGTGATAAAAAGAAATGGAAAGAATGCATGAAGTCACCCACTAGTAGGAGAAATCCGGGATTGTCACGGCATTACCTGTGATCCTCTCTGAGGAGTGTGATGGGCTGGGAGCTGCGCACAGGCAGGGAAGACACAAGCGCATCTATTTTCATCACAAGGTCACTCAAGCTGTGAAATCAGAGGAGCAGTGTGTGAGGCTTGTAGGAAGAGAAGACTGCATTTCAGTTACAGTTGGCAGCTCTGGAGAGGCCCTTTCTATACCTACAGCTATAGTTCCTCTCTTACAGAAGCAAACTACAAAGGACACAGACTGCAATCACGCTTCTCTGGAAAGGCAAGGCACACAACGCAATAAACACAAAGTGGATATTTACAGCGGAAGCCAGAGCTTAAATAATGAACACGAGACCTATGCACACGGTCTTTATGAAAATGGCCCCTCTTGTGAACAGAGATGGTATAGCTAGGTGAATGAAAAACAGAGAGAAAGAATGACTTTCAGGGATCAAACACTGGCCTTCAGAGTTAAGCAGTAGCCGGCAAATGCGTGGGTGAGCATCATCTTTATGGCTTTTATGATGTATCTTGTCTATAGCCAAACATGCTCTAACTTTGAAAGAAAATATATGTAAAACACTAATCTCCAAAATGAGTTGCTTTAATACCTTTAAATACTTACTGTTTTGAGTTGATTTCCATATTTTCAACAATGTCTTTAATTTTCTCTACTGAGTTACTAAATGTTGTCTTTTCAATCAAGTGAAAATCTTCTACGTAGAACTCTTCATGTAAAGGTCCTAAGAACTTAAAACAAAGTTTTCAGCTTACTGTTTTATTGTTGGATATTTTCTAGGAGACATTAAGGAAATTTTTTTTTTCATGTTTACTCCATCACCATGAGCATTTTCTGAGGGAGCTATCACATGCAGCCACTATTACATGTGTGTCCACAGCCCTGCTGTAGAACATGGGGCTGACTTAGATGCAGGCACTATTACATGTGTGTCCACAGCCCTGCTGTGGTGGTGTCTTGCTGGTACAAATAAAACCTGTCTGAAGGTCGGGGAATGGAGCTTGCCACTAGCTAACCATAGAGGTCTGCAGGTCTGTACAAGTTTATAGCTTGGACAGTCAACATGTGATATCTATACATGCATACTTCAGATTGTGCAAAACTAGCTTTCATACGACATAAAAATTGCAGAGAGGCACAGAGGAAAAAGATGTGGTGATGTGCTCTGCATGCCAACCACAACACTGGTGTCTCAAGATGGAGTGCAGTATTTGTTACAATGAAACGTCACCAGATCAAGATACAGCTGGATGCATGGAGAACTCTGCTTTCTATAACTGATGGAGGCCGGGGGAGGGACTGTGGGCCCTGACCCACTGTAGTTACCCTGAGCTCTGACTAATATGCACCGCATAAGTGCCCCCATGAACGGTGTACGTCACACTGGTTTGTCGGGTCTCTTTTCACAGCACCAGTGTCCACTAAAACCTTAGAAGATTCTTTTACTTACTTTCCCATTGCTGACAATACCGACTTTGCCAGGCTGCAATTTAAGTACATCTTGACAGAATAACTGGTGGGTTCGGAAAATATTTACTCCAACGGTGTTATATTTTTTCTCAAAAGCATTCTTATCCATCTCCTAAGGTACAAGTTAAAAAAAAAAAGAAAAAATGAGAAATAAAAAAATAGAAAAAAACAAACTAAAAATGCTGAAACTATGAAAAATGAATAACATGACAAAGTAACAGTATATAATTCATGTATATAACCCCCACATTAATATTAATAAAATTATGCAAATCATGATTTAAAATTTTTCTTCTGAAGCAACATTTTAAAGAAATAATTTTCTTTTGTCAAATCATTTACAAAATCATTAAACCTTGTTACAAGTACATATAGCTAGAAATTATTCATTGTTTGACCACTTAAGGGAGATTTGTAGGTCATTATAATGTTTGAGAACATCAGTTTAACTAAAATTTAACATTAAAGAAATGAAACGTTTATTAAATTTTAAACTCAGTATCTCATATTTGATGCTTTTAAAGAGTCATGTTTAAAATAGAACTACTCCATCTTACCCCAGCGTACAAATCACAGAAGGACAATTTAATAACTGTATTTAAATAGTGAAATATTGAGCATAATCTTTTGCGAAAATCAGAAGAAGTTGTTATACAGCTTCATACTGAGGCACAGTTCTCCCGATCAGTTCCTCCCCATACTTGAAAACACAGACAATTCACCTTGGTGTGTTCTATTTGTGTACAGCTAGGAGGCCTTAGGGTCTAAAGTTTGAGCAAGTTGCCATGCACTCCCATCATGATGGACATTTTCTTTGCACCATTCAATATGGTAACTGTGGCCACAGCAGGATTGAAAAACACAATTCAAATTTAAGTGTACAACGGCCATACCTAGTCAGTGGCTGCAGCCTCATAGACAGGATCCCTAGGCATTCTCAGCTCACAGACACCCAGTTCCCCCCATTTCTTCATGGCCTGCAACCTCCCATCATGCCCTAATGGACAGCCATCCATCATTCAAACCTCTTATTCTTTCAGTATTTTTCAGTAGCATGGTACTTTATGTGTGACACACACATGCACGCATGTGTGCATACGCTCCCTCACACACAATTATTTTACTGACCATATTAAGGAATGTTTTAATTTTCTCTCCAGAATAAATTGCTTCAGCAGTTTCTTCTTTTGCCAGTTCCCTGAGAAATCTTCTCAAAAGGCTGTTTTTATGTGTAAGAAAAGCTGCCAAAATTCCTCTAGAAATGACTGTGTTCTCTTCATATATCTTCAATGTGGGATTATAAATGATCCCCAGCCGAGTATGAACACTTGTTTCCTGTAAAACACATGGACAATAGAAGACCAGGACCTGCGACCCCCTGTCACAGTCTCTTGATTTTCTTACACCTCTTTTACTGTTGGCCTTTCTATGATGACTATACCAAATGAGTAATTATCACCACAACAGCCAGAAAGACAACCATTTACTATCTCTGTCCACTTCTTTAGTACAAATATTCTTTGGTAATAAAATATTTAGTCACTTTGTGGGTGTATAAAAGAATACATAAAATATACAAAATGCAAATTTGGAATTCAGTGAATTCTACCATAAACAACTGTGAAGACCAAGAAATCAGCACTGCCAGTAACCCAGACAGCCATCTTCCACCAGTCACCATACACCTGCCTTTTCCTGAAAGCAGCACTCCTACGGTTTACAACAGTGAGTCTCCTCATTTCCTAGTCCCTGCATTTCTACACTATTTATATCAGTCTCTTCATCCCTTAGTGCCTACATTGCTAACACTAAATGTTTAACTGTCTTCAGGTTTCATCTAAGGAGGTTAGCATAGCACGTGAAATTCTGTGCTGTCTTACCAGTCAACAGAATGAGAGAGTCATCAATACTGTTACTGTGTGGTTATTTTGGTGCTATCCAGAGTTCCAGGAGACGAGTATACTCTTTAGGAAGCCTGTTTCTGGGTAGCTGAGCCTCATCCAATTTGGAGCTCTATACCAGGATACACAGATCTTCACTTATTCATTTTTAATTTTTTTAGAAGTATAAATTTTGAAGCAGCCAAGTGATTTACAAAATATCTGGATGAGTTGCTACTCCCACTAGCAACATACTAGCTTTTATTATATCAGAGGTCACGAACCTTTTTATTGTCATTTAAATTAAATCACCTGTGCAGTAAGAAAGGGTACTGCACAGGGTTTTACTTTCTTTTCCCCTCACCATCAATGAAACCAAGCTTTCATCTCTATGTCAGCGGCACTTCCCACCTAAATTCTTTGCTCCACTTTCGGCCTTTTTGAAAATTACATTTTCTTTTTACTGGTTGTAGACATGTTTGATGTCCACAGTTCAAGTGCTTTTTGACTACAACTCAATAGATAACACAGTGCAGTTATGTTTGTTCGTTCTGTGGTGTGTACTCTATGCTGTGAGTTGATTAAAAAGTAATTATTACTTAATTTCAATTTACACTAGTTCAATTTGTTAACATTTTAGCTGATTGGTACGAGGGTTTATTGTCTATTTTAGAAGAAGTCATAAAGATAATCTTCACAGAAATTTATTGCTTCTGGTTTTATGTGTAAGTATATTTCCACAAGTATGATGATACAGGGCAGGAAGTTTTCTGTTTTGTCACACCTAAATCACACATAAGGACGTACTTTAAAAACGTGGACTCCATCAAATTGGAAAATCTATAGAAATGGATAATTTGCTTCACATTTACCAGTTAGCAAAGTTAAATCAAGATCACATAATCAATTTAAACAGACTTATAACATCCAGTGAAATAGAAGCAGTCATTAAGTTTCCCAACTAAAAAAAGCCAGAGGTCAGATGGTTTTAGCACAGAATTCTAACAGACTTTCCAAGAACAGTTAATGCCAACAGTCCTCAAATTATTTGACAAATTGAAACAGAAGAAACATTATCCAATTCATTTTATGAGGCTACAGTTACCCTGATACACAAATCACATCAAGTTCCAACAAGGAAAATTATAGACCAATTTTATGTAAGAATATAGACACAAAATTTCTCAATAAAATATTTGCAAACCAAATCTAAGAACACATCTAAAAGATCATTCACCATGATCAAATAGGCTTCATCCCAGAGATGCAGGGATGCTTCAACATACCTAAATTGATAAATATAATCTACCATATAAACAAACTGAAAGACAAAATCACATGATCATGTCATTAGATGCAGAAAAGGGCTGGGACATCAGCCTTCATCATAAAAGTCTTATAGAGATCTGGGATATAAGAGACATATTCTTCAATATAATTAAGGCAGTTAGGAGCAAGCCCATAGTCAACATCAACCTAAGCAGAGAGAAACTGAAGAAATTTCCACTAAAATAAGTCAAGGCTGACCACATTCTCCATACTTATTCAATATAGTAGTCTTAGCTAGAGCAATAAGGAAACTGGAGGAGACCAAGGGGATACAAATAGGAAGGGAAGAAGTCAAAGTATCTTAATTTGCAGATGAGCTGACAGTATACACAAGATTTCTAAGAATCCCACCAGAAAACTCCTATAGCTGATAAATACTTTCAGAAATGTAGCTGGATACAAAGTTAACACACAAACATCAGTAGCGCTGCTATGTACAAATGATAAATGGACTGAAAGAGAAACTGAATACCTTTCACAATAGACTCAAACAATATAAAGTGGGTGTAACTCCAGCCAAGCAAGGGAAAGCCTGGTGTGATAAACACGGTGAGACATTGAAGAAAGAACCTGAAGAAGACATCACAAGATGCAAAGATCTATGCTCATGGATTTGTAGGATTAATGTAGTAAATACGGCCACCTTACCAGAGCAATCTGCACATTCAATGCAACTCACATCAGTAAACACTCAACGTGAAGCCATACTATACATACATATACACAGGCATATACATATACATACACATATACATATATATACACATACATACACACACATACACACGCATATACATACATATATACATATACACATATACATATACACACATATACACACGCATATACATATACATACATATATACATACACACACATACACACACACACACACACACACACACACACACACACACACAGAGGATCAGATGTATACTCATGCAGGCAGACCCTGTAGGTTGCCTCAGTCGCTGTGAGTTCAGACAGGCTTTGCTCATGTGGAAACTTTTGAGACTATTTCATGACTACATTGTAACCTTTGCCCTTATCTTTGTGTCTCCTGTTGTAGAGACAGTCAGCTACCATGCTGTGAGCATTTTTAAGCAACACATACACAAAAACAAGTTCATGTGGCACTGGAATAAGCGCTCGGTCCATTTGCTAACAGGACCAATATATAGTTCTTACTTGGACGGTGCAGCTGAAGGCAAACCTTCCTGAGCGGCTTATCTAAGATGCTCTTGAGTTACAACAGAACCACAGAAACAGCTGACATCAATCACTATTTCAATTGGGTTCTGATGGGGGAGTCCTTCTCTACATATGTTTCTCTCATTGGTTGATGAATAAAACACTGATTGGCCAGTAGACAGTAGAGGCAGGAAGCTAGGTGGGGTTAGGAGACAAGGAGAATTCTGGGAAAGGTAGACAGAGAGGGACTGTGAGAGGACGCAATGTAGCCATCCGGGAAGGTCTGGACCCTTCTCTGGTAAGACAAGATCACATGGGAATACTTAGATTAATACAAATGGGTTAATAATTAAGACAGAGCTAGCCAGGAAGAAGCCCTAGCCATCAGCGAACAGTGTAATAATTAATATAAGTCTTTTGTGTTTATTTGGTCCTGAATCAGCTACAGGACCTGGGGGGACAAGAAACTCCAGCAACAGGGTTTTGTAATAATTTGCTATATAGCAATAAACTTACAATAAGCTAATATCAAACGTCATAAAACATTTTGACTTATTTCTTAATTTTTAAAATATAAACATACATGATCCCTTAGATATATAGACATTCATTTAAAAAGTAGCTCAAAATACAGAAACCAATCTTCCTAACAACTGACTTACAATTACTCAAAAAATAAAAATTAAGGTAAATATAGCTTGCAGTAGTTTTGTTAAGATAAATTAACTAAGTTTTCCTAAATAATCCGGGAAAGAAAGTACTAACTAATTATGTGACAAAAACTGCTATTACTAGCTGTTGCTCGTAAAACACAGATTTGAGCTCACTGGAGACAAGCCTGCTTTTCTGGGCAGCTTCCTGCTTTAAGTGGAGCTTAGTGTGCTAATTCCTGACTTAGTCTTCTTGGTGTTGTGCACTACCCAAACAATTTAATGTTTAGCACAGAGTGGGTGATGACCGGACGCTGCTGTACTCACCATGTGCTTTAGCGCATTGGAAAGTAGTTTTCTCCCAGATGGCATGTCAAAATCGGCAACAATCCACACAGTGACTGCAGATACTACATCGTCTGAAATTTTCAAATAGCAGAGCAAAATTAATTTTTTCCAAACTTAAACTAAAGGACAAAGAAATTTTCTAGTGGAACCCCACTAAATAACCATTCTAAAGTCATTCAAAAACAGCATTTATACTCTCTATCTTTCTCACTATTTGAGTATGTTACTACATATATTTCATATAAATGCAGACACACACAAAGCAAAGAAGAAAAAGAACAGTATCTGGGGACAGTCACTGGCATTTTCACCAAGAGAGAAAACTGTCTTATGTCTTTCCCGGTTCCAGTGTTGAAAAGTGAAACTGTCTTTGGTTAACAGTTTTTTTGTTTGTTTGTTTTGTTTTGTTTCTTTGGGGGCGATTTTTGTTTGTTTACACATGTGAAGATTTTTAGGAATATAGAAAATGGCAATAATATTGTTAGGTTACTTAATCTTAATTGCTTAATCTCTATTTGCAGAGAGTGAAAGTCTAGAACCCAGACGAAGAAGCCATTCTTTTTGTTTGTGTATGTGAGCACAATACATGCATGTCTAATAGCCAGGGATAACCTCATGTGTTTCAAAGGTGCAGTCCTTCTTTCTCTTTTTGAGACAGAGACACACACACACTCTCTCTGTCTCTCTCTCTTCCTCTCTCTTCCACTGTAAGGAGAGGTGAGAGGTCACTGTTAGCAGTAGTGCAGTGACACCCTCTGTAAGGAGAAATTACAAGAGTGTGATTCTGCATGAAAATCAACACTTCCACCCTCCTAAGCTGAGAACGATTTCCAGTGTTAAATCCTCAAAATTGTGTGAGTTCTAATTCATGATAAATATGGAATGATAAAGTTTTCGGCTAATATCCCTTTGATTTGGAAGAGATTTAATGAAATTGGGTACTTAAGGGTAATTTGGCATAAAACCCAGAGACTTTCTGAAATATGACCCAACTTGGTCTCTGACTCTTGACACTGCCAAGGTCCTAGTGTGCCATAACTAAGATTTTATTTTGTGTGGCATTTCTTATAAGAGGTGAAATTCAGATTCAATCTCTAGAGTTTTCAAAACTTGTGTGTCTTTTGCTTTAACTCTCTAAGATATAAAATTTACCTCTCACAATCTCATTCACTGCACCATTAGGTCGCTCTTACTGTTAGCACTGCCACTTACACACTGCAACCCAACCATCTACTATCTCTTTTTATTTTTTATCATTTTTTATTTGAATTAGAAACAAGATTGAATTACATGAGGATCCCATTTCTCTTTTCCCTCCCCTGCTCCCTACCTCCCCCCCCCCCCCCCCCCCAGTTCACAACTAACTATCACACACCCTTTCTTCTATTCTTCACCTGACTCAACCTTTCTGCTCCCTCATGACCTCTGCATCCTTCCTCTTCTTCCCTTCTCATTCTTGTGTCCCCCCCCTCTTCCCATGCTCCCAATTTGCTCAGGGGATCATGACCCTTTCCCCTTCTCCAGGGGACCATGTCTCTCTTAGGGTCCTCCTTGTTTACTAGTTTCTCTGGCAGTGTGGACTGTGGGCTGGTAATCCTTTGTCTACTATCTCTTACTCACTTGCTCTCATTGTGACAAGCATCTATGCCCCATGTCTCACCTGCTGTCACCCTTGGCACTCTTTCTCTAGAAACCTCTGGCCATTCTGGCTAGAAAATCAGATCCTCCTGGCAAACCCAGCTGTCTTCCCTCGAGTGCGCTCTCAGCCCTCCACCCTCCAAGTCAATCACCATTCCTGCTTGTCGGCTTCCAATACCTAGAAAAAAAGTCCTACACTGGATCTCCAGTGATCATCGTGGCAGGATCTGAGAGGAATTCTATACCAGGGAACCCATAGCCACAAAACATGCTAAGATCCAGAGAGGGCAACAGAATCCAAGAAACAGAAAACCCAACCAACAAAGACAAGTCCAGATATCAACACCTAGAATTACAATCAATCCAATCCCAGATGCCTACACACCAGCATAAAAACCACAATAACAGCCAGGACAATATATCTCCACTTGGACTTGTATGATAAAAACTGTAAGACATTGAACAAAGAACTTGAAAAGGATATCAGAAGATGGAAAGATCTCCTATGCTCATGGATTTGTAGGATTAATGTAGTAAATATGGCTACCTTACCAGAGCAATCTACAGATTCAGTGCAACTCCTATCAAAATTCTAACACAATTCTTGACAGATTTTGAAAGGTAAATTTTCAGATTCAAATAGAAACAAACAAAGTAACCCAGGAGAGCTAAAGCAATCTTGACTAATAAAAGAACTACAGGTGTGGGGGATATCACCATCCCAAACTTCAAATTGTACTACAAAGCTTTAACAGTAAACAGCTGTGTGCATGGTGATAAGGGTCTATCTGCAGCTCACACGAAGATGATGTCAGCACTTGGGATCACAGGACTTTAATCTCATTATAAGGGAGGTATAAAAAGCAAAAGAGTTGCATGTGAGGCAATCAGTCTTTAGCTATGTCAAGGAGAGCATAGCAGTCTGAATGAACAAGGGAAGAGATACCTTAATAGAGGGAGCCATTATGGGCTTAAAGAGAAATCTGGCACTAGGCAAATGTCCCAAAATCCACAAGGATGACCCCAACTAAGAATCTAAGCAATAGGGGCGGTGCTACCTTAAATGCTCTTCCCTTATAATAAGACTGATGGCTACCTTAAATCCCATCCTAGAGTCTTCATCCAGTAGCTGATGGAAGCAGAAGCAGAGATCCACAGCTAAGCACTGAGCTGAACTCCTGGAATCCAGTTGCAGAGAGGGAGAAGTGATGAGCAAAGGGGTCAAGACCATGTGGAGAAACACAGAAAAACAGCTGACCTGAGCAACTGGGAGTTCATGGACCCCAGTCAGACAACCGGGGAACCAGTATAGGACCAAACCGGAGCCTCTGAGCTTGGGTGTCAGTTGGGAGACCCGGGCAGTCTATAGGGCCTCTGGCAGTGGAACCAGTATTTATTCCTAGTGCATGAATGGACTTCGGGAGCCTATTCCCCCATGGAGGGATACTCTCTCAGCCTAAATACAGGGGGGAGGGCCTAGGCCCTGCCCCAAATGATGTGACAGACTTTGATGATCCCCCATGGAAGGCCTCACCCTCCCTTGTATGGGGGGGAGTGGAGGATGGGAGTAAGAGGGAACTGGGATTGATATACGAAATAAGATTATTTCTAATTTAAATTTTTAAAAGTTAATTTTTAAAAATGGCTCTTTATTTTCTAATGAGACAAATGAAGAAAGGATGAGTATTTGAGAGGGTGGGGAAGACCTGCGAGGATTTGGGGGGATGAGAAATCAATGATCAGAATATATTATATGAAAAAATCCATTTCAGTTAAAGGAGAAAAACAAAACAAAACAAAACAGAGGAACTTCAACACAGATCCCAGCATGCAAACATAAGCTAAGGCTAAGAGGGACATCTCCCCAATTCTAACAACTGTTAGATTGTAATGAATTATTAACTGACAAACTGAAATCCAAGCACCTGGTCAAAAATAGAAACATAGTAACATTTGTTATGCAAGTGCCTTCCTAAAGTTTTTTTTTTTTTTTCATGACTTTAGGAATAAATTACAGAACACTATGCTCATTACCTTCTGCGGTTAAATAATGCATGCTTTGTGCAATCACAGAGCTCTTATCTTGTGAATCCAAGAAAGAGAAAGTTGAGAAATCTTCAATTTCAGCAGTTACTGAAATAACAAATGTTTAATAGCACCGTTACTAAAACACCCACAACAAGCATTTCTAGGACAGTATAAGAATGGTTATTTACCTGATGAAGATATTAAATTAAGGTACTGTGGTTCAGTGTGCAAAATCAAGGAATTTAAACGGGGTACAACATTATTCTTATCCATCAGGAAATCAATTGCATTGATTTCATCATTTAATGTGCCCTAAAATAGGAAAATTTCACTTTATTAATATGGGTAATTTATATGCACATTTTTGTTATGTAATTCATGTAAATATACTTAATTTAAAATAAATTTTAAAAGCATATGTAATAAGCTTTCTTAAGAAATTATAAATATTCTAACTAATCTATTTTTCATGTACTTATATATCTGATAAATTTAATTTTTAATTATTAAATGTTCAGGGTGAAAAATTTCATACATCTTATATCATTAAAATTTCCAATATAAGAGCTGGAGAGGTGGACCAATAGATAAAGAGCACTGGCTGCTCTCCAGAAGACCTGGGTTTGGTTCTCAGCACTCACCTGGCAGCTCACAACTGCCTGTAACTCCAGTTACAGAGGATATAGCACCCTCACACAGACATGCATTCAGGAAAAACACCAATGCACATAAAAATTAAAAAAATCTTTATAAGAATTTTCAATATAATTATAAATACAATTCATGTTATTTTCTTATAAATGCATACCTACCATAAAGACATCTCTCTGTAGGTATGTAAATGCATCCAGCATTTTTTCCAGAACAGCTCCTTTTAGTTCTTCAGTGCTCATCTCTGTGAGGTCAATGGGTTCCCCATTATAAAGAGCTTGAGGCAAAGAATCTAGGCCAGTCATCTTATAAAAGCTTGTTCCCGCCTATTTATTAAAGATACCAGGTGTCAAATAAAATGTGGCTATTTTAAATATAAGAGAAACAGAAACAGTGCTATATGTTTATGTCATGACAGGGAAAACTGTCAATTTTCTTTATTTATACCCATGCATGCATGCATGCAAAAAAAAAAAAAAGCCATCCACCTTCATATAGCAAGGATCAGAAAGTATCTTATGTCAAGAGTTAGCTTGTGAATATTTTAGGCTTTGTCAGCCTTTTATCTCTGCTGCAATGAACTCTGTTGTTAGCAGGAGGCTCATGGACAATTCACCAGCACATTTTTTTTTTTTTTGTAAAGAAGTTCTTTACAAAAGCAAACATTGATGGTCCTAATGATCCTTGATGTTCAGTATGACATTTACTTAAAACCAAAACATTTATCTACAGTACAAACTATTTTATTATCCACTTATGCGATAAACACATCTTGGCTCAGTCTATGGGAATGACATTACCCATACTGAAAATATAACTGACTGTTGTTCCTCAAGAAGTTCACTGAATACTTACAAATTAAAGCAAGGTTCCAAGGGGTCCACAAAAGGCTCATTTAACAAGTTTGAGCATGTAGAGGAGGGGATAAGTAAAGGATCCTGTTAGATAGTGACACTGACAGCCTTAAAAGGTGGATGAACATTCTCCAGGAAGACAGGATGGAGAGAGACAGGCCGAGGGAAGGGACAGCAGAGCACGAACGAGAAGGGAAGTGAGAATGTGGCCTTCAGGCAGTGGCAGTAATCTGTGGGGCGCTGTCAGCTCTGCTGCCAGAGACTGAGTTGGAAGTCAGATCACAGAGGCCCTCCCTCGGGGCTGGCACTCACCTCTCAACACGTCACTCACCCTACACGCAGCACCAAGTGTTGGGATTACTATTAGAACCAACACTGTCACACGTAGTCTAAGAAACTATGCACAAAGTAAGTCTTCCTTTTCTGAGGTAGGATCAGAGCTGTTTAGATTTTGGAATATTTTGAGGCTCTATCATAATTTTTATTGAAGATCTAAATGCTGAATCATGATCAATGTTTTTGGATTCTAAACCATCTGGAAATTCAGATATGGTTATCCACCATGAAGCAGATGACAGGACAGATGGCGAGTAAGTCATTTCCAAAACATCAAGTGGCTATCCTATTTTAGAATTTCAACTGTTCCCAGATCAGCCTGACCAAGAGTCTGAGTGCTTAACCACAGCCCTGTATCGTGTCTGCACTGACTGGGCATCAGCTATATTAAATGCTGAAGAATGCATACAAATAACATATGGGTACCATGGTAAATGAACTTACAGTGTGAATAAAGTTCCCATACATGCCAATGATATGGGCAATACTATCTGAATGAAGGTTCCATGACAAATGTGTGGCCTTATGATTTATTTTGGAGAGAACACAGCAGCGACACTCGAAACAATGAACTCTGCAGTTGTAAGGGAAGCCACGTGAGAGCAGGAACGGTGTGGCAGTGGGCAGGGAAGATTGTCAGCGATATTTAACAGGCAGAGCTGACACAGCTTGGTGACTGTTTGGGAGGACGGAAAGGGAAACAGTGTTCAGGGAGCCACAACACTTGCAGCAGAGGTGGCCTGTGACAACAGTGCTGACGGAGGAAAGGTTCGGGGTAACAAAGGACATGCTGGGCTTCCTTTTAGATGCTTTGACTTCGTGTTTATGGGATATCCTCTAGGCAGACGTGTGAATTCAGCACTGCCCCTCCCTCTAATTGCTGTGTGTGTGTGTGTGTGTGTGTGTGTGTGTGTGTGTGTTCGTGCACACGTGTGAGTGTTTGTGTGTGATGGGTGCATGTGTGAGCACAGGTGCATGGGGATGGAAATGAGACGTTAATGCTGGATAGTTTGCCACAATTGCTTTCTACATGTTTTGAAAAATTTTTGAGACCAGGTCTCTCATTGAACCCAGAGCTCGGCAACTGGGATGGGTGGTTGACCAGTTAGCCTCAGGAATCTGCCTGTCACACTGTTCTTCAGGCCTGTGCCACTTTCTCAGTTTCCTAGTTCTTAACATGCGATCAGGGGATCTGAACTCAGGTCCTAGTGCTTGCAGGGCGGACACTTTACCAACTGTGCCATCTCCCAGCCCTGATGAGTATATATTGACTTTTAAAAAGATACCCCTGCTGGAAATACAGGCCTGCCTTTCCCCTCCAATCTACAACCTGCAATTAAGCAACCTATGTATTCCAAGTTACTAATTACCAAAAAAAAAACAAACAAATGACATAATTCTATGCTTTTAGTCTATATGTGTCTTTTGACCTTAGCCACACATTTTCAATGTATCATTTCACATATCTGGAAGTTCACCGGCATCTCAAGTACTGGACAGGAAAAGCTGAAATCAGGGCTGGAGAGATGGCTCAGCAGTTAAGATCACTATCTGCTCTTTCAGAGGTTCCGAGTTCAATCCCCAGCAACCACATGATGGCTCACAACTATCTGTAATGGGATCTGATTCCGTCTTCTGGCCTGCAGGGATACATGCAGACAGAGCACTCATACATAAAAAATAAATTAGAAAAAGGAGCTGAAGTATCTTCCACTTGTGTTTTTGTGGTGAGAGATCTTACAACCTGCATTAGTCATTTCAAGTATGAAATATACTGGGATTACAATTACCTTGGTGTTTAACAGAACTCTTAACTGCATTCTCCTGGTCTAACTGAAATGTTGTATTCCTCACTAATTCCGCCTTTGTGCACTGCAGCTAGGAGCCACATAACTTATATCCCACGTGGCAGAAGAGTCTGCGTCATCATCCTGTGCCTGGCATCTCCCTTTATATAATGTCCAATCTTACCGCTCTTCTCTTGTCATATTTGGAACCGGTTCCCAAAATATCCAAAATGTCAGTATGAGGGGCTTTATTCTGAAGAACACTCTTCACATTGTCCACAGTGAGTACACCACCCTTCACTTTTTGGTACATCTGTGGAAACAGAGATATTTCTTTATACAACAATTAGTTTTCTTTCTCTAAGAATATAATTGTAATTTGCAAAATAAAGAATATGTCTTGTAAATTCTTTTAGTTTGTTGATTTTGAAACAGGGTCACAGGTACCCCAGGGTTGGCCTCAAGTTCACCATGTAGTCAAGGCAACTTCAGTCTGCACATAGTCCCTACCACTCAACATCCAGCCAATTATTGTTATTGTTAAATCTTGCATTCTAATGTCATTTACTGTCTGGGAAAGAGCTATGTGCATGGCCAAATGTTACTCACTGGCCAGGCAACATGACATCCCTAGCCCAAGAGAAACTACTTGACTTATCTTGTATTATAAGACTCTAGCCCTGAAAATGTCACTTAGTTGTCCAGAGTTTGGCTGAGTGAAACACAGCAGTGAGAGCAGTGGTGGTGTGGAGAGAAGGTGGCTGTGGAGAGAGAGAGAGAGGTGTGTGAGAGATGAAGAAGACTTATTCGAGAAGTATGAGGGAGTGAGCCTGACAGAGAGTGTGGGTGTGAGAGCGGGTGTATACCTAAGAGAGACATGTAGCAGTATGTGTAGAGACATTGTAACTGAATATAGAAATATGTCCTGTGCAGGAGAGGGATATGTGTATGTAAAGAGAGACATAGAGCTGTGTGTAAAGAGATGTATCCTGTGTAGTGAGATCATCAAGAAAGAGAGTATTAAGTTGAAGTAAAAGAGAAGGTCACCATTGGGAAAGCATGTGCTCATTCCTTTTCTCTTAGACCACCAGCAGAACGTGAGTCCTTATTTTTCTGCTCAGATAGAGAAGTCTAGCAACCCTCAGATAAGAATTTTTTTCTAAGCCCTTGTTACTCTGAGGTCTTCTTTTGACTACCCTGGAGTAGATCTGGGAGCTGGCCTCTCAGGCAGCCAGAACTGACTTGGAAAGTCTTCCTTTCCTTCTGTACACTGAACCCAGAGCTCACTCTTTTGGCTAGGCTGGCAGGTCAGAGAGCCCCTGACACCTTCTTGTTGCCATGCCACCACAGCGATGGGGTCACAGTTGGGCACTGACAAACATAGCTTCAGAAGCAAGTGATGGGCACAAACTGTGATAGACAATGCTAATTTCTAATATAAAATGATTATGTAATAGGTTCAGTATTGGTAAGGGCCTTACTGTCTCAGTTATGTTTTAATGATATGGATTAATTATATAATTATATATTATATATATAAAATTATATATCAGTATAAATTTTGTTTCAGTTTTTAATACAATAGCAATCCATTTACAACAATATAGATGGATATTAATCAAATGTCCAAGTCTCTTATAAACCCTATAGCAATCAGTGAGTTAGTAAAATTGAGATACATGCATTATTGATGTACATTATTACACAGCACTACCTTTGAGTGAACACTGTTCCCCTTAATGGGATATTTAACCATTGCTTGCATTTTAATTATCTCCCATGATGATCAGCAGACTACTACAAACTCTCAGACAACAAGGATTTTAGCACAAAGCAGCATAAAAACAAAGCTAAATATGTAAGCCTGTCTACAGACTGCATTAAAACTCTATTTACAAACAATCAGATTTGTTATTTCCCCTTAATCGGGTTCTTAGTGATTTCTTTATAGTTTTTTTCCAGACTCAGTGTTATCTTCCTTCAAACAGCTTTCTGTCACTCAGTGCTCTCACCCTGTGGAACTGTTTAGGAAGTATCTATTATATATGAGCCATTTAGACCAGAGGTTCTCAACAGATCAGATATCCTGAATAACCAGTATTTACATTATGATTTATAACAGTAGGAAAAGTCAAGTTCCAAAGTAGCCACACAGTAACTTTATGGCTGGGGAAGCAAGAGGAACGGTGTTAAAGGGTCACAGCCTTAGGGAGGTTGAGGATCTTAATCATTGCACTAAGTTTTTATTCAAAGCATAGCTCAGGATTCCTCAAAAAACATTTTCTGTTAATGTTTTCTCTAAGTTTAGACACATACAACTTAAATTTTTTACAAGGTTAGTTAACCTAAGTAAATTGATATACTCTAGTAGGGGCTCAGTTCCCTGCTTATAAAATTGGGACAATGGCATATATTTTACTGTTAGGGAATCAAATTTATGTATACCAACTTCCAGGAACATTTTCATATATTTGAAATGATATAATAATATAATGACACCAGAGAATTATTTATTCAGAAACACTCTCTGGTGCATAAACTCACATGTATCATGGAAATAAAGGCTTCTGATACATCATAGCTTTCTTCAATGTAATTGAAAGCTCGCCAGAGAGCAGCCCCAGCATCTGCTGCTCCATCTACTTCATTATCCACACTCAGAATGAACACAAATCCAATTCTGGGGGAAGAGGAGGAACAAGTAATGTTACAACTATATCTTGAATCACAATAAATTACCACTTAAAAGATTATATGCATGCATCTGCATAGAGGAAATATATTAGATATGGAGAGGGGAATATTATTTGAAAAGTTTGATTATAATGCCTATCCATCCAAATCCCCACAGCCATTACAGTCATGCAAAATGTCAATCACACTCTAGTGGCACTAATAAATTTCCAGAGTGTTCATATTATTTCCCCAGAAAACAACATATATATAAGAATTCTGTTCAGCATTGATTAACATAAAGGCATAGGTCATTTCACATCCCAGCCACCTGCCCAGTGCAAGACTGCTGATGTAAGTGCCACACCTATCACCTCTGCACACAGCATAAGAAGCACTAGATTTATTTTAATAATATCAAGTTACAATTACCTAAGAGGAATTTCATTATAATAAAAAAATTCTGCCAAACTTATAAAGTCCAAGGTGTATTCTTGAGCAGGATCAATAAACAAAACCTAGAAGAATGAACACGGTTATTACTAGAAGACTTTAGAACATGAATTTTAAATGTAGTTTAATTTCTGTAATTTAAAGCATGAAATTCAAGATACAAGATTTCAAAAATATCTACCATGAATAGGCAAGAATTTCATAATTTATGAAGATTTATAATAGCTACATAGTCATATAATTATACATGGAATTTTATAAAAGATTAAAGATATTCTTGGTGGATCCACAATATAAATTATATAAACACCTCATTTTACATGCTCATTGGCACTTCTGTGGAAATTTAAAAAGACAGCACAAATACAAGTTCTTAAAGAGTCTTACAGGAAATAAGATACAGACTTCCTAGGCAAAAGGCGATCACACAAACAAACACTGCAGTCTTAGGAGTTTCTCTACACACTTCAAAATCCCAAGAGGCTGCTTGACTGTTTAGAATTACAGTAATGAGACAATGAATATTTGTGAAAAAACTTGTATTTATCTATTTTTCCTGACTATATAGACTTTAAAATATAACACAAAAGTTAATTCCTTTGAGATAATATACAAGTATCATTATTATAAAACTACATGAGAGAAGAGTAATACTCAACAAGTTAAGTGAAAAATCCTGGCTTCTGACCACACCCTCAGATGGCCACCTCCAGCCTGATGTACCAGGCCACACCCTCAGACAGCCACCTCCAGCTGGGTGTCCTGGGAAGAGTACTTCCCTACACTTGACAAGCCGACTAGTCCTAGTTGTAAGGAAATCAAAACAGAATGTTATCTTTATAAGACATGGTATAACAAGCAAAATACAAAACTCACCAGGTTATGAAAATTACGCCTTATGGATGGAACTGTTCCATGTAACACTGGTTTCAGGAATTCCCAGCAACTTTTAGGCCAATTAACATACGCACCATCATTTTCTAAGTCATTAACCCACTGGAAAAGAATCCAGAACCCTGTTAAAGCTACATTAAGATAATAGTTATATCACTTTCAAATTTAGATTTTTTTGTTATATTAAAATCACAGGTGAAAACATACACAGATTTTTTTTTGTTTTTATTTTTAGCTGTGTGTATTGGTTGGTGTGTGATGGCAGGGAGGTATGTACCTGCTGGGGCCAGAAGAGTTGATTCTTTCTGCACTCTTTAGCAGACTTCTAAGTTAATGTAACAGACAATACAGAGAAAGAAGTAATTGTTGCACTTTTAATAGTAGTCAGAACAACCAGGGGGAATAGCAAAGAAGTAAGGTTTGAACAACCCTATAAACCAACTATAAGAATCTTTCATCCAACACTACCAGATACACATTCTTTTCAAGTACACAGGAGGCAGTCTACAGGATAGATACATGAAGTCTCAATAAATCTACAAAATTTAAATGGTACAAACCAGGCAATCTCACAATGAACTGAATTTACAATTAGAAAGAAAATTTCAGGAACATCATACATGTAGAAACTAAACAATATGATATTAAATAATCAATGAGTCAAAAAATAATCACAAGGGCATTTAGAAGACTCTTTGAAACAGATTCAGTAGTTCAATAACTATTGTGATCAAGTAGGATTTCTCCCACAAATGAAAACATTTCAACATATGGAAATCTATATAATACACCATATCATTATAGAGGAATTATAATAATCTTAATAGTTGAAGAAAACAAAATGTCAACAGGTTTACCTATTCATCACAAAAACCAGAGGGCTATTTATAGCTATATATATCTACATTAAAAAGTGATGATCCCAAGCCAACTATGTAACTTTCACCCTAAGAAACTAGGGAAAGCAAGGCAGTATAATTTAAAAGCAAGAGACAGACAACACTAGTAAAGCTTTACACACAGGTAAATGAAAGAAAGAACAGAACAGCAGAAACATGCAGAAGGAACTAAAACTTGGTGAACAACAAAACTGAGAAATGTTCACTGGGATGGACAAGACAACAGTGTAGAGAAGACTCGAATGACAAATGTGTAATTGAGCCACCACTAGATACCAAAGAATGGAAGCCAAGCAACTGATCAATAATCCTTAGCAATATAGCTTGTTTTTATGCTAAAAATTTCAATATTTAAAATGCTTTAAAAATTCAAAAGTTGTAGGGCAAGGACTAAACATGAGCACTCACCACTATTGAAGGGTGCCGGATATCTAAAACATAGTCGTAGCTCCAAACAGGTAAATTTAATTTCAAAAATTTGCTCATATCTTCATCATTGAACCCAAGATTTTTAAGGCCACTCATCAGTTTCCCTTCTGATTTCAGCATATCTAAAATACTTCATGTACAAAGAAGAAATCACTTTATTTTGGTTTCTGAAAACTTGAAGGAAATGTAAAGTTTGACAAGTTTCTTTCATTTGTGCATGTACATATGAAATTAATTCATGTGAAATCAATTCAATGTTAAAATTAAGTTCAACAAATATTTGAGTTCCATGTTGCAAGAGCTACCACATGCGGAAAGTTCAGTGGTTGATAAACAAGCTCAAATAAGTTGCCTGTGTAGAATTTGAAGTCTAGAGTAACTAAGGCTAAGAAACTAATCACAGTGTGATATTACTTTAAAAACACAAAGTGCAGAGCTCTGATGGTTTGGGAGAAGGTTAATTAGCTTCCCTCGATTACCAATTATCCAATGCAGGTTGATCAGTTCTGAAGCCATATATACACAAACAACCAAACCAATGGAGCAGGCTCTACTTGCATATTTGTGCATGCATAAATACATATAAATATATACAACAATAATGATCAAAGAAAAGAAGTCTATTGACTTGAGGGGGTTATGGGAGCCATTGGAGAGGAGGTACCTGGGAGAGGCTGGAGGAGGAGAGAAAGGGTTGCAATTCTTTTTCACTTAAAAATACATTTAAAAAAGAAAATTTCCACAGGAATGAACAAGGAAAGATAAGCAAAAAGTGTTGGGCCATAGCAATTCCTCGTTCTCCACTCATGTAAAAATTATGAAGTTGATAGAAAAACTCTCCCTTTCTACGTCTGTAATAATAATAGGGCATTTTCCTTTCTCTCCCTGTTGTTTCTATTCGTCTATGTCTTCACATTGATTTTAGGCTGCATCCTGTGTTTTCTTATAACCTCTTTGCGTTGACCTCAAAACACATATTTTCTGCTTTGCCTGTAAGTGAACCATGTTCTATCCTGCAATCACATCATTGAGAAACAGAACTATGACTTACTTCCCGAAGATCACCAATAATTATAGGGGAAGAGTCGGGTTAGGAATCCTTGAAGAATCTACACACTTTCTAAACCATAAACTAAAATGTTTCTACTATGGAGCTTTCCCAGGCACTCCATAGGAAACACTCTAAAATCTATATACCAACTCACTGTTCCTTTTAATCATGATTTCACTGTTCCTGGACACAGATTCAATTTTTGTCCCTCTTATGCATATAAACCAAGGTCTGATACTTTGTATATTCTATACATGGCATTTATTCTATATGTCTTATGATATTAGGTCCAATAATTTAACTATTATAGAGAAAAGTAATTTTATTTAAAATAAAACTACAAGATGGCAGTCTAAATGGACTATCAAATAAACACACACACACAGAGTCATGGATATACACAGTCATGGACACACACACACACACACACACACACACACACACACACACACACCCCACACACACCACAGGGGGTGGGTAGGTAGTTGGGGTAGAAAGGGATCTGAGTTTTCCTATGCTTCCAAACTATTAATAAAATGAATCTGAAATATTTCTATAAATTTATAAATTTCAGTTCAACTGCAGCACATTCTTAGAATTAAAATTGAATGACTGAATTAAAGTACTATATTAATGAAACCATCTTATGTTCCAGGGACCAACCAACTTTTAAAAGTGGTTTTACACTTCTCGGGTAAGAGTAACAAAAAATTCTGTCTGCTTCTTCTTTGTCAGACCCATGATCTGAACTTACAGGTGAGTGGCCACTGTGGCAAAGGACTTCCTAATTCTACTCCAGATTACTTCTGATTACCAAGTCTGTTTGCCCAAGAAACTAGATGACACCCAACATAGTTTGAACTATCTAAGTTAAGCTCTTTCTCCTGGGGAAACACCTTATACTGTTTCCAGTTCCTTTCTGGAGGACAGAAGCCCCAGAGCTTCTCAGTCCCAGCCCAAAGAACATTCCTGTTAAACAGGAACCGAATATTGAAAGAAAGGCAGTCCAGTGTAATGGAAGAATTAGAGTTTTACCAGCCACCAGCTCACCAAGATCTCTCCCAGGACTGAAAATTTAGGGCACTGCGCACTGGTACATTTGGAAGAACACAATAGGAAACATTGCATCTAAGAGAAAGGGGGAGAGAGAATTGACGGGGAATGTCCTTCTGTGTATGTTCATCTTACTGATTGTTGAATGAAGCAGTGTTTGGCCAATGAGGCAGCAAGTTAGGCAGGACTAGGAGTCAAGGAGGATTCTGGGAAATGTAATAAAAAGAAGTCTTGTGATCCAGGCAGGAAGAGATATAGCAGGCAGACTCATACATAAGCAGGGACAAATAGGAAGTGGCTCTCTTGCTCTTCCTCTTCCTCCTGCTCTCTTCTCTACAGAGCCACCATGTGATCCCGGGACTTATAAAATGCATAGATTTATGATAATCAAGACTGTGCTAGCATATAAGAAATCCTAGTCAATTGGCCAGCAGCATTATAAACTAATATAAGACTCTGCGTGTTATTCTGGGCGGCGGGACTCAGGCGGATGAGTGAAGACTTACTGTTACAGAGGACAGAGAAGAGGAACCAGGATACTGTAAGGATGAAATGTTCTACAAGGGAATTAGGGGACTACCATTGATAACAATTTACTATATATTTCAAAACACAGAGAAGAGATGGTTTTAATGTTCCGAATGTGAAGAAATTATGTTTGAGGTGACAGGAATGCTAACCATTATATACATGTATCAAACTATCAAATTACAGCCATAAATGTGACAATTCTGTTACAGCCATAAATGTGGACAGTTCTGTGCCAAAAGATTTCTTTAATCTTTAAGTTATTTGGTTTTTGCATTTTGACAAATATTAAACTCAGGAATACATTATCTTTACACAAATCATAAGTTAGATTAATAAACTAATTCTTACCTAAAAGGATCATAAACATCCATGTCAACAAGAAGGCCATTTATAAACAGACGAGCATCCCCTGGCTTAATATCAAATCTGTCTCGTAGGTCCTTCAAAGAAAGCGAAGCAGCAGTTAGCCAACAGTGGCGGTTACTCTTCCCGTCCTCCCACGAGGCATTCAATATGTACAGCATTGGTTCTTGACCAGGAACAATAGCCGGTTACTTGGCTGCAGTATCTTCTGTTAGTTCCTGGCTTTAAGAAAGTTCTAAAGGATGCCTCAGAAAGTGCTTCTAGGAGTGAGTTCTCCCTTTGCATGGGTTCACAGCATGAACCCATGTTCGTGTGTGTGTGTGTGTGTGTGTGTGTGTGTGTGTGTGTGTGACTGCAGGGATCTAAGGCAAGGACTTGCACAGACACATGCAAGGCAAGTACCCAACCCTGAGCTGAGCTGCCTCCTTAGTGACTCCCTGGATTCTTCTTGGTCAGTGTTCCTTGTGGCCTGGATGTGCATATCAACCCGAAGGACAGCTTTCTCACCTTGACAGTTCACATGCAGAAATGGTTTTCATGTTAAATGTTGTCTTTTCGAAGACTGCTGCCGTTTGTGCTTTTGTCCTTCTGTTGTACCAACAACTTATAAGTGCAACAGCCTATGCCTTGTTTGCTTGTTCTTGGTCAGTTTTCCAACCACACAGGGCACCTTTTACACATAGATTTCGGTCCTTTTATTTAAAAAAAAATTCTAATTGTAATCCCCACCCCCATTGATCATCTGGGAACTTCAGATCATGTATTCTTATCATACTTGCCTTCCAGTCCTTCCATGTTTGCCCTCTCCCCAGTGTGACCTCCAAAAAATCCAAATAAAAATAAGAATAGGAAAAAGTCCAGTTTGTGTTATCTAACACACTCTCTGGAGAATGGTCAATAGAGCTGAGTCCCTGCCCCCCACCGACAACCCACCAGGGCCATCAACCATGGAGAACCAGACCTCAGCATCCCCATAAGAGTCCCCAAGAATTCTCTGGGACTTTTACCCTGGGACTGGACATTTACTGTGTGTTTCTTCCTTAATGTTGCTCTTGCTGGCTGTAGGTCTGAATTTGTGTGTGGTTTTACCCTTCCTTCTTCTGGACCACACTTGGTATTTGTTATCATTGTGTATAGTTTTTATGTCAGGCATAAAACCCTCTTCTAGACAAAAAAGGGAAATGTTGTGGCATCTTGCTTTGGCAGTGAACTTGTGGTGTTAGCCACACCCATGGGAGTAGATGTGACCCCCTTATAAGGTAGAGAAGGGACTGGCTTGCTCTCTTGGGTTGGGGTGGGACTGCATCGTGAGGAGCAGGAAGACCATGGTGGTTGTCTACTCTGACAGTGTGAGTGCTTCCCGAACATACCCCGACTTATCATTTATCTTGGGTCTGGTGGACTCATGTAAAGCCCAGGCTGTTACTTTGGGGGTGGGTTGGGGTTATGGGTTCCATGTCCCTCCCTCTCAGCTGTGCATCTGCGGCCATCGACATCACAGCAAAAGCAGCCTCCTTGCTCTTCAGGCAGAGGGAGCATGGACCACGGGCCTCTAGATGGCTTCCAGTGACAATGCTGACCTCACACACGGCTCCTGGCAGCACAAACCCAGACAAGGCTCTTGGAGGCAGCCTGGACCCAGACACCAACATGGCTTCAGATGGCAGCTGCAAACCAGCCAGACCAGCATGCCCCCATGGCAGCATGGCTTAATTGTGGTATAAATGTTTCTTGTGTTTTTTCCCCTTTCCATCCCAGGGACTCTTATGTAAGGTTTATCAGGCTTTCGTTATCAGCTTCTCACTCATGCTTGCTTCTTTGATTTGCACACTTCATTTCTATTTTGTTTTCTTTCCGTTTCTTACGCCTTTCCATTGTGTTTTATATGGCATTTTCTACTAGGTCTGTTCTCCCAGGTGTCCTTGCCATTGTAGTTTCCCTTGTGAAATGGTTTCTTTCTGCTTCTTACACCTTCCCAGAGGTCTTCCCATTGTGATTTCACGCCCTCTTCTTGGGCATGGATGTCAACTTATGTCCACTTTCAATCTGAGTCATTGCTTTCTAAGCCTCTGGTGCTTCTCATCTTCAATAATTTTCAAGACTTTTTTCTTTAAATGCACGTATGAATTATGTATGCTAGTTTACCTTTGCTGAGCAAGGTGTCTACAAAATGACTCTGTTCGTTCCATCCTACTCTTTACATTGATCTAGTTTTACTTTCTAGAGTTGTCAAACATGATATTAGCAGGGGATATTCTTTCGGGGTAAAACAGGCAAAACTAACTTTTGGATTTCTGAGCTTGAAGACTGTTTGGAAATCACATTTACATTGGGTCACTTAGTCAGTCTCGTTCTCCAACAGCGATCTGCATCAGGGCTCTCACCCTGTCATCTTTTCTTTCCTCTTTGTCTCTGAGGATACTACTTTGCCTTTCAAAGGCTGTCTTTGAAGTCGTCCCTTTTGGTGATTGGCAGTGCTATGATAGCATATACTGTTTGCCGATTTATACCATTCCCAAACACAGCACGTGGAGGGCTGCCCTGTCTCAGACCCAGACACGTTTATCTCAAGTGTCCTTCAAGAGTCTCTGTTCAGGGGAAAGCTGGCCTTTAGCAAGGAAGGAGGAGAAAATCACACAGCTAAGAATGCAAAAGCATCATGCCTTGGAGAACAGCTGGAAGGTAACCACTTCTAACAAACATGCCTCCTGTTCCTCCATGGTATAAAATGTGTGTGGTAGAAACGGGAAGGCAGAAGCTCATGTGTGAAGAGTTTTCCCAGCCACTCTCAGTCATTGTCCCCAGCATGCTCTTCAGTATGTATTCTCCACGTGTTTTCTGCATTTGACGATGATTTGATATCTGCCTTCCAGGCATGGGAACTATCCAAATAGGCAATGTTTTGCTATTTTTCCTAGTATTTTTCATTTTTAAATTGTGTGTGTGTGCGTGTGTCTGTGTTTCTGTATGTGCACATGGGTATGGGTTGCCTGTGTAAGCCAGAAGAGTGGGTTGGATCCCCTAGACCTGGACTTACCAATGGCTGTGAGCAGTCTGAACTGGGTGCTGGGAACAAAACACAGGAGATCTCCCAGGTAGTGTGTCTCTTACCCACTGACCCACCTCTCTAACTCCTGCTACTGGTTATTGTTTTCTTCTACTTTTGCTTACTGTATGCTTAAAAAACTCCACTCATTTAAAATTTCAAGGATGGCTATCATGGACCATTCTCTGCCTGGGACAAATATCCAGTTCTTCCCATAACATCTCTTTAATCTTAGGAAATCTTCCAGCCCCCTGAGTTCTGATGAAAAGCAAAGAGAACAACTCAGTTTCAACTGTGTAAAGCCTGGTATTTCCCTTTTCTTCTCCTTTCCTAGCTCATCTCCTGTCTCATTGAAGGTGATCTAACAAAAACAAACTATAAAAAGAAACTCTCAAAAGATCAATTAGTAAAGTCACCAAAGGGGGCATCAACACAATTTAGCTAGTTCTCATCATTAAAACTGCTGACAGGACTAGTGTGGCTGGAAAACCCAGCCTCTCCCTCCCTAGCTCTCTGCTAACATTTCTAGCTTCCCTTGCAGCTAGAGATGGCCATATGACGGGGTCCTAGTCCTTGAGATACATGCCAAAGTCTGTTCAAGTACTCTGGAATGCTTTAATGGGTATTAGTGTGGTTATGAATATTCTTGGCCACTGTCTCCGGATGCAAACAAGAAGTCTCAGGGCCATCTTACTACCCAGAAAGTCTGCTGGTGTTTTCGGAACACTTCCTGACACTGTGGCGCACTATAGCCATAACGCCAGTGACAGAGACTTTAAGACATCTTTTCTGTCTAGGGTTTTATGAGGTGGTATTATATTATTTATAAGAGAAACCATTACATGAAATGGAGCTAGGCTACAACCAGCATCAGAACTATTAACATACAACCATAAGTACTAACACAATTAACATAATTTGATGTTTAAATGTTAACAGACCATTTGGAATAATCTTATCAAACTATTGATCAACTGTGTCTATCTTATTATTGGATATTAGGAATGTTATAGTAGTCTAACACTAGTTTATTCCCTCTGAGCCTCAGAACTGGTAATAAAAACAACTGAACTGTATTATGTTGTAAGGAGGGCAAGTATTACATAGCCAGAGAGTCTGGAGTCACAAACATCAGCTAGATTACAGTATGTACCACATATATTAGAGAGTATAAGGATGTAAGTCCTCAACTAGTTTTTGTATTTACTGACTTTTTAAAAAGTTTTCAAATGACATATTTCATCATATTCTCCCCTCCCCCAATTCCTTCAAGATTCTCTCCAGCTCCCCACTACTCAACTTCATGTCCTTTCTCACAAACAAAACAGAATAAAACTCCAAAACCCCCAAATCAAAACAAATGAACACCAACAACAAAAACCCAAAGACAAAAAATTCCAAACCAAGCCAACCCAAACCACCACCACCACCACCACCACCACCACCACCACCACCACCACCAAAACCCATAAGAAATATGGAGTCTATTTTGTTTGCTAAGGGCTCCTGAACACAGGGCCTGCTCTGCAGGGTGGTCAATATACCCAGATTTACTCCACCAAAGAAAACTCACCTTCTCTCTTTGAATTACTTCAACAATAAAAAAATGCTAACATTCGCTTTTTATTAAAATGAAATAAAAAGGGCAGCCAGATGTCTCTGGAATTTCTAGAGTTTTGGAAGTTGCTTGCAATGCACTTTCTTTTTATTCAGGTAGTATTATATCCTTCTGGGGTCTTTGATGGAGCTGAAGACTAGATAGTTACAATTATAGATTTGCTTAGTTATGCTAAAAGATAAATTAGATACGAAACTTTAGACTCACAAAGATAGGATAGATATTTTCTTTAATTTTGCTAAATACAAATAGACTAGAATAGATACTCTAAATGTAATTCTTACTTAGTAACTTTTTGTTATATGTAATTTTAATATATTAAAATGAAAACCTTCCCTTTTGTATTAGACAGAAAAGGGGAAAACACTGTGGGATGTCTTTTTGTACAATGTGAATATGTGCTGCTCTCTTTTGTTGGTAAATAAAGCTGCTTTGGCCTACGGCAGGACAGAGTACAACTAGGCAGGAAATCCAAACAGAGATACAGAAGAAAGGTGGAGTCTGGGAGATGACAGCCAGTCACCCAAGAAGCAAGAAGCCAGCTGACTGGTAATGCCATGGCCACATGACAACACATAGATTAATAGAAATGGGTTCATTTAATAGTAAGAGTTGGCTAGTAATAAGCCTGAGCTATCAGCCAAGCATTTATAAGTAATATTAAGCCTCTGAGTGGTTATTTGGGAAATGGCTGATGGGAGAGAAACCGCAGATTACAAACTTGTGAAAAAGTGAATTAGTATGTCAAATAAAAATTTTTTTGAGAAATTCAAGCAAACCTTTTGATTTTCCTGTATTTCTTTTCTCATTAGTTCATTTACAGCAATCCTTGTGAGAGATCTGAGAAAATAAACACATTACTTAATAAAAATGAATAGAACTAATGCTTCTGTAAGTGTTTAGGAATAATCATTAACTCAATGTAACACACTTACTTTCCAAATGCATCAAGCACACACATTTCCACAGCCCAGTTTGACAGTGACACTGCATTTTATTTGACACACACACATTTCCATAGCCCAGTTTGACAGTGACACTGCATTTTATTTGACACACACACACATTTCCACAGCCCAGTTTGACAGTGACATTGTATTTTATTTGACACTACACCCCTTTCACACGGAATGAAGACTCAAAATTACATATACTTCCAATATATGCATCAAGTACCAGCTTAGATAATTTACCACTGCTTTTGTTTCCAAAACACTAATTATATAAGAATTTTGATTATTCTTGGCTTAACCAATACAGTAAACAGAGTTATCCATTGGTATAAATGGAGGAGGGATGCCAGGATCCCCCATAAAAACAAAAATCCATGTGTGAGTGATCACAGCCCTTATTAAAAACGGCTTGTAATTGCATATAACCTACACATATAATCCTGCACATTATAAATGACCTATATAGACCATCTGTAATACTTAATACTCTCTTTTGTAATAGCTTGTGCACTATGTTACTTAAAATGATTATGAAGATGTTATCTGTTCAAGTTCAAGACAGAGAGCATTATTCTTTCCAAATGTAGTTCGTCATTTTCAGGTGTGGGACTTAGACACAGTGAGGGATGATGACTTCATAGTAGCCACTCTAGAAGACTTTATTATTCTCTTATAACTTAAAGATAGAATTACAAATAAATACTCTCTACAGATGTTTTCAACCTGTAAAATCCCTATAATAAAATGTTGTCATTATACCTGTCAATATATGCATAAGAATTAATCTACAATCCAACATTCAATAGTTGGCTGTTTTATTAAAACAAGAATTATTTTTCTTCATATTTGAGCTAATTTCAAAAGTTACCATTAGTTGAAAGTTATGTGGCTAAACGTTTTCATATACACCTATTTCATGTTTTATATTTGAATAGTGTTAATGTCTCAAATTTCTCTCCACTTAAAATTGGCTGACCCAGAAGTGCAAGCATATTATGTTAATATGTCACAATGAATCTCACCATTTTCTACAATGAGTGTACTAATAAATGTCACTTAAGCAGGCACAGAAGCAAAGTCCTATAATTCTACCTACTTAAGAGAATGAGGCAGTAGGGCAGAGGATTTGAGATTAGCTTGGGCCACACAGCAAGAAATTACCACCCAAAAACTAAAAATAAATAAATAAATAAAATTACAAACTTCTATTATCAGAGGGCCTTAAAACACAACTGGGGTCTCTTGTATCCAACAGATACTATTTATCTATCTTTCAAATGTTAATGCTACCTTCATTTAAAAATCTTTAATTTGAATTGTAAATGGACAAAATAGTATCTGAGAAAAAGATTTAGCATTCAGTCCTTAAAAAGATAAGCCAAGATGCTCCCCACCCCTCCATCAACAATCCACCCACTGCATCAATGACCAAGGGGAGCCACAGGCGCCCGCTACACCTGGAAGAAGAGAGTGTCTGAACTCCTGGCTGGACAGCACTGATCTCTAGGCCCTAACCCGTGGGTTCACATCCTGTACCCATCTAGAGCAGCCCCAGTAACCAGACAGCAGCACCCACCAGCCCCTGCATCAAAACATTCCCCACTGCATCAGAGACCAAGGGAGCCACAGGCCCCACCTACACCTGGAGGAAGAGAGACCTCTGGAGCCACAGTCCCCACCTGCACCATTTGGAGGAAGAGACGGTGTAAGAACACAGTCAACAACATAAAGAGCAGCTGGCAGCATCAGAAACTAGCGATTCTACAACAGCAAGACCTGAACATCACAATGCAGATGAAGCAGAAGAAAATGACTTTAAAATAACTTTATGAAGATGATAGAGGTCCTTAAAGAGGAAATAAAAATTCCTTAAAGAAGTGGGAAAAAAGGCAAACAAAAATTGGAAGAAATCATTAAGTCCCTTAAAGAAAACCAAGGCTGCGGGAGGGAACAATCAAATAAGTGAAGCAAACGAAGGAAACAGACCAAGATGTGAAAATTAAATAGAGGCAATAAAGAAAACACAAATCAAAGAACTCTGGAAATGAAAAATCTGGGTAAATAAACAGGAACTAAAGACGCAAGCATAACCAACAGAATGCAAGAGATGGAAGACAGAATCTCAGGCACTGAAGATACTATAGAGGAAAGAGATTCATCAGTCAAAGGAAAATGTTAAATCCAACAAAATCTTAACATAAAACACACAGGAAATCTGAGATACCATGAAAAGACCAAACCTAAGAATAATGGGGATAGAAGAAGGAGAAGAATTCCAGCTCAAAGGCACAGAAAATATATTCAAGAAAATGACAGAAGAAGACCCGGAAAGGCAACTCAGAGGTTAAGAGCACAGGCTGCTCTTCCTGAGGTCCTGAGTTCAATTCCTAGCAACCACATGGTGGCTCACAGCCATCTGTAATGGGATCTGGTGCCCTCTTCTGGCCTGCAGGTACACATACATGCAGAATACTGTATACATAATTAATGGAGAATGTTCTTCTGTGTATGTTATTGATTGTTGAATAAAGTACTGTTTGGCCAATGAGGCAGCAAGTTAGGCGGGACTAGGAGTTAAGGAGGATTCTGGGAAGTGTAGTAAAGAAGTGGTGATCCAGGCAGGAAATCAAACAGCAGGGAGACTCACACATAAACAAGGGAAGAAGGAAGTGGGGCCTTCTCTCTTCCTCCAGAGTCACCATGTGATCCCTGGATGAGGACGCCAATGGAAGGCGTCCAATAAGATAAGTCTTATAAAATATATAGATTTATGATAATTAAGACTGAGCTAACAGATGAGAATCCTAATAGAAGTCTCTGTGTATCATTTGGGGCTCCAACTGGGCAGGCAGACCTCAGGCGGCTGGTGGAAAGCGCCCAGGTGGCGGAAGGGCTCGGCAGCTTTTGGCGAAAAGATTCATTGTAACACATAATACATAAATAGATCTTTAAAAAAATAGAAGAAAACTTTCCCAACCTAAAGAAGGTATACCTATGAAGGTACAAGAAGCTCACGGAACACAAAATAGACTGAACCAAAAAGTTCCCTCACTATATAATAATAATAAAAACATTAAACATACAGAATAAAGAAAGAATACTAAAGGCTGCAAAGGAAAAAGTCCAAGTAACATACAAAGGCAGACTTATCAGAATTACACCCAACTTCTCAATGGAAACTCTGAAAGCCAGATGGTCTTGGACAGATGTTCTGCAAACACTAAGAGACTGCGGAAGCTAGCCTAGACTACTATGCCCAGCAAAACTCTCAATCACTATATATGGATAAAACAAGATATTCCATGATAAAACCAGATTTAAACAATACTTATCTACAAATCCAGTCCTACAGAAAGCACTAGAAGGAAAATTCCAACCCAATGAAGTTAGGTATACTCACAAAAACATAGGCAACAGATAACTTCACACCAGCAAACCCCAAAGAAGGGAAACATACAAGCACTACCACCACCACTAACAAAACCAAATATAACATGAATTAACAATCACTGGTCATTAATATCGCTTAACATCAATGATATCCATTTGCCTATAAAAAGACACAGGCTATCAAAAACATGACCCATCCTTCTGCCGCATACAAGAAACACATAGAGTAACAGAAAACAGGCAGAGTAAACGGTTGGGAAAATGTTTTCCAATCAAATTGACCTAAGAAGCAAACTGGTATACCTATCCCAATATCTAACAAATTAGACTTCAAACAAAAATCAATCAAAAGAGATAAAGACGGTCATTTCATATTTATTACAGGGAAAGTCCATCAAGATGAAGTCTCAATTCTGAACATTTATGCCACAAATACAAGAGAACCCACATTTGTAAAAGAAACATTACTAAAGCTTAAATCACACATGTAAGGACTTGTAGGACAGTATGAAATCAGTGCTAAGAGGAAAGTTCATGGCACTAAGTGCCTATGTAAAGAACATGGAAACAGTATGTATTCATTCGTAAGTGGATATTAGACGTAAAGAAAAGGATATCCAGACTACAAATCACAGCTCCAGAGAAGCCAGGTAACAAGGAGGACCCTAAGAGGGACACACGGATGACCCTGGGCATGGAAATTAAATAATATCTACTGGGTAAACCGGGGTGAGGGTTTGTCAGGTGGTGGGGAGAGAAGATGAGAGCATGAGGAAACAGAGTGGTTAAGGGTTGGAGGGATGCAGTGCAAGAGCAATGAAAGGGACACCTTAATAGAGAGGCCACTATGGGCTTAGGGAGCAAACTGGTGCTAGAGCAATTCCCAAGAATTCACAAGGATGACCCCAGCTAAGACTCCTAGCAATAGTGGAGAGGGTGCCCAAACTGGCCTGCCCCTGTAATAAGATTGTTGAATACTCCAATTATCATCATAGAGCCTTCATTCAGAAATAAATGGAGCCAGATGCAGCGATCCACAACCAACACCAGGCCGAGATCCAGGAATCCAGTCAAAGAGAAGGACAAAGGGAATATATGAGCAAGGGAGGTCAAGACAATGATGGAGAATCTACAGAGACAGCTGAACCAAGCTCATGGAAACTTGTGACCTCTGGACCTACAACTGTGGAGACTCCCTCTGTATGTGAAAGACAGTTGTGAAGCTTGGGCTATCTATCTGAGGAGCCCCTGGCAGTAGGACATGAGGTAGCTTGTTGGAGCCCATCCCTATGGTGGGATGCCATAGTCAGTCTTAATGCATGGGAGAGGGGCCTGGCCCTGTCCCAACCTGTTCTGCTAGACTTTGTTGACTCCTCATGGGAGCCCTTACACACGAGGAGGAGAGGACTGGGGGTGTGTTGGGCAGAGGTGAGGGGGAATGGGAGGGAAAACTGTGGTTGCAATGTAAAATGAAATTTAAAAGAATAAATGAATTATTATAAAAAGAATATGGAGAAATCTCACACTAGCGACTTAATAGCACACTTGGAAGCTCTAGAACAAAAATGGCAAACTCACTCAGGAGGAGTAGATGAAAGAAAATAATCAAATTGAGGGATGGAATCAATAAAATAGAAACAAGAGAACAATACAAAGAATCAATGGGACAAAGAGTTGGTTCTTCAACAAAATCAACAAGACAGAAAACTCGTATCCAAACTGACCAAAGAGCAGAGAGTCAATATCCAAATTAACAAAATCAGAAATTAAAAGGGGGGCATAACAACAGACACTGAGAACTATCAGGTCATACTTTGAAAACCTGTACTCCAAAAAATTGGAAAATTTAAAAGAATTGGACAATTTTCTGGATAGGTAACACTTACCAAAATTAAATCAAGACCAGATAAATAATTTAAGTAGACCTATAACACCAAAGGAAATAGAAGCAGTCATCAAAAGTCTCTCAACCAAAAAAAGGCCAGGGCCAGGTAGTTCCAGTTCAGAATTCTATCAGAATTTCAAAGAAGAGCTAACACCAGTACTCCTCAAGTTGTTCCACACCACAGAAACAAAATAAACATTACCAGACTCTTTTTACAAAACTACAGGTACCAATACCCAAACCACACAATGACACAACTAAGAAAGAATTACAGACCAATCTCCCCCATGAACATTGACACAAAAATACTCAATAAAATAGTGGTAAAAAAAATCATCTACCATGACCAAGTAGGCTTCATTCCAGAGATGCAGGGATGGTTCAACATAAGAAAATCTGTCAATGTAACTCACTATATAAATAAAATGATTGAAAGAAACCACACGATTATCTCACTAAATGCTGACAAAGTCTTCCACAAAATCCAACACCCCTTCATGATAAAGGTCTTGGAGAAATCAGGGATACAAGGAACATACCTAAATATAATAAAGTCATTATACAGTAAGCCAACAGACAACATCAAAGTAAATGAAGAGAAACTCAAATCCAACCCAGTAAGATCAGGAACAAGACAAGGCTGTCCACTCTCTCCATATATACTCAATATTTGTACTCGAAGTTCTAGCTAGAGCAATAAGATAACAAAAGGAGATTAAGGGGATACAAATTGGCAGGGAAGAAGTCAAACTCTCACTATTTGCAGGTGATATGATGGTGTACATAAGGGACCCCAAAAAGTTCTACCAGAGAACTCCTATAGCTAATTAACATCTTCAGTAATATAAGACTAACTAAAAAAGGGAAAAAATCAGTAGACTTCCTAACATACAAATGATAAATGGGCTGAGAAAAAAATCAGAGAAACATCACCCTTTTCAATTGCCACGAATAACATAAAATATTTTGGGGTAACCCTAACCAAACAAGTGAAAGACCTGTACGAAAAGAACTATAAGTCTTTGAAGAAAGAAACTGAAGAAGACATCAGAAAGCGGAAAATTCTTCCATGCTCTTGGATCAGTAGGATCAACATAGTAAAAATGTCAATCTTATCAAAAGCAATCTACAGATTCAATGCAATCCCCATCAAAATCCCAACACAATTCTTCATAGACCTCAAAAAAAATTACTTAACTTTATATGGAACAACAAAAAACCAGGGTAGCCAAAACAATCCTGTACAATAAAGAAACTTCCAGAGGCATCACCATCCCTGACTTCAGCTATACTATAGAGCTATAGCAATAAAAACAGGTTGGTATTGGCACAAAAACACACACCTGGATCAATGGAATTGAATTGAAAACCCTGATACTAATCCACACACCCATGAATTCCTGATTTTTGGCAATGAAGCTAAAATTATACAATGGAAAAAGAAAACATCTTCAACAAATGGTGCTGCATAACTGGATGTCGCCATGTAGAAGACTGTAAATAGATCCCTGGCCATCCCTATCCACAAAACTCAAGTTTAAGTGGATCAAAGCTCTCAACATAAATCCAGTTACACTGAACATGATAGAAGAGAAAGTGGAAAGTAGTTTTGGCACAGGAAAGCACTTCCTGAACATAACACCAGTAGCAGACACTGAGATGAACAATTAATAAATGGGACCTTCTGAAAGTGAGCAATTCCCCAATAAAAACCGGACTTCCCTCTATCAGGACTTTCGTGGACTCTGTTACAATTGTCCATTTTGCTCTCCTGTGGGAGGCGTCACCCTCCCTGGGGAGATGATGGGGGGACTGGGAGGAAGAGAGGGAGAGGGAACTGGGATTGGTATATAAAACAAGACTTTTTAAAAATAAAAAAATACAATTTTTCTTTTCCTTTAGTCTCTAATTTAATAGTTGTCTTTGTAGTATAATATATATGCATATATGACACAATATTTTACTCTAATAAAAACTAAACATAAATAATGGAAAACCCTAAACCTTGAAAATCTAGAATTGACATCTTCATGTTACAAAATCAGTTATTCTCATACGGTCCACTTCATGGAAAGACATCTACTTATAACCACACCAATAAAGTTTAACATACCTGGCTTTTATGGGGAAGTTCTGTGAAATATCTTTCATTAATTTTATGGCATCATAAACAGGAGTAGATACAATTTGAGAGGCTGCTTGAAAACTAAGATCTAGAGAAAAAATCAAAATCACTCGTAAATCTACTGTAACAGTCCAGCTTTAGACATTTCCACTCAATATAGCTATTTTCCTTCAACGTTTTCCCGAATATTCACACATATGTTAATGGTAATGTATTTAGCATTTTTTAAAGTTTTAAGTCAAAAGCTTCCTCCTTAAATTAGGGCATGACTTAAACTTTTATGAATGAGTGATTTAGTAGTTACCTGTTTTCCACAAATTAGAATATATCAAAAGAGACTCATGCCGACATAAACAACATGGCTTCTGCCATAAAAACATGAGGCTGTTCTTTCTGTCCTTAGGTTGGGTGAAATATGTAACCAAGGCTTTGATGGAAAGAGTAACGAGGCAAATTGCTCATTACTGAGGGAAGTGTACTGGAGTCTTCAGTGGAGTAGCCACTGGTGAGCTGGCTGTGATCCAGTACACAGTGCCACCCATGCTCATGCAAACAGCCCCAATCACACTTAGTGGGGTGGACTCTCAGGATGGTCACACTTAGTGGGATGGACTCTCAGGATGGTCACACTTAGTGGGGTGGACTCTCAGCATGGTCACACTTAGTGGGGTGGAGTCTAAGGATGGTCACACTTAGTGGGATGGACTCTCAGCATGATCACACTTAGTGGGATGGACTCTCAGGATGGTCACGGTGGGGTGGACTCTCAGCATGGTCACACTTAGTGGGATGGACTCTCAGCATGGTCACACTTAGTGGGATGGACTCTCAGGATGGACTCACACACACGGGAGGAGAAGACTTCTGGATGGAGAAAAGAAGGGCTTCAGTGGAAAGGGTTGGAGTGAGAATGACTAGAACTCATTACATACAGGTATGAAATGGCTAAAGAATAAATGTGTTTAAAAAGCAACAGAGGCCAGGGTACATGTAGCTCAGTAGCAGAGTGAAATCCTGGGTCCCTGGGTTAATGACCAGCATCTACTCCCTTAAAAAATAACAAAGAAAGACAAAGAAAAGCAAAGGGGAAAGAGGAGTTCAAAAGAGCCAATTATTAAGATAATTACTAAAGAGGACTGAACTTAACACATTAATTTTATCTTTAGATATCATTTATTTTTTGCTGAAATAAAACTAAAATTTATAATTAGCATTATTTTTCCCCAAATAAATAGTTCTACTGAAAGGAAAATCTAGGTGGCTGGACATAGTCGCTTTCAAACATGTTAGAAACAATAAACTTAGTCTCATTATTTTCAAGAGTCAGAGAGATTTTAAAGTCAAATTCTTTTGTTACTTAATCATGATTCTTTGTAAGATTTCACTAGAAGGAGAACCTTGATTTTTCAAATAGTGGTTAAGGAAGCTATTTTGTAATAACAAGGCTACTTTTGTCTCCATGTTCTCTGTGTGCAAATTTGAATCAGCTGCAGGCAAAGCCTATAAATATGCTGTTAGGCTAGTCTCCCAGGGGAGGGCATAGTCTAAGTAACTAGAGTTTAAATCCCAGATATATCGTGTATTAGCTGAATTAGTGCTCACTACCATTCCTCAGCCTACTCAATTGTTTCTAGTTCCAATATCACAGTGAGACTATCAGGGTTCATTAATGCATTAAAGTCTCTGTTCAAATGATGAAGCACAGTGGGCAATTTTACAAGCCTCTCTCTGAGCTCCTTTCCAAAGATCACTGGGTTGGGGGAGGTGACAGTGTGTGTGTGGGGGGAGGAACCGGACCACAACGATGACATTGTGTGCTCTAATAGCAGTCCAGAAAGAAAAGCTTGTATTGTTTCAAAGATTTCTTCATTGTGAGTCTACCATAAGTATGTATTTAAAATGATGTCCTATAAAGTAATGAGGTCGTGAGTAACTGAGACACACTTGTTATTAGGCAGTTAGGTACAGATGTTATAGAACCTTAAATTAGCACATGCTATAGTTTTAAAATATGTTTTTCATAGGTCTCTTAAACTTAAACTTGTGTATGATGCAGCTTAAGAATTAGTGTGGACTAAAAATCCTTTAATTAGCATATCAAATTAGTAATTTTTAAATTTAAAATGGGGAAGGACCTCATCTTCAGAAGCTCAGTGTGTAAGTGAAATAGCTTATATGAAATAGCTTATATGAAATAGCTTATATGAAATAGCTTATATGAAAAGGTTCTGCCAAGTATTTCAGGCAAAAGAAAAACAGTTTTGCATTATATATGCTATTTTGTCAAGACAATTCTGATTAATATCCTTTTAATTGTTGAAAAGGAACTCTACCTATAGCTAGGGATTGGGGAAAATGAGGCAGAAATTGTTAGAGAATTTGCAATATGGTTTCTGGGGTGACAGAAATACTCTGAGCTTACCTGTGGAAACTGCAGCAGAACTCTGAAAATGCATTAAAACCCACTGAACATTACAGCTCAGAGGGGTAAATTGTATAATGTGTAAGTTTTATGTCTCAATAAAGCTATTATATTAAATAGGCATATGAAAGGCATGATGAAAGTTACACATAAAACTGGCGCATGCCCATACCTAATAAACCATTTCAAACAATGAAGAAAGGAAATTATAAACCGAAAAGAACTTAAAGTTCACTCCAACTAAAACTCGGCCACATAATCTTGGCTTTTGGTTGCCAGCACAAAAATTGCCAGTTTCATAGCTACCAGCCATCTCACTTGATAATTACTTTAAAAATTTGTCAGAGAAACACAGAGTTGTCTGAGGCTAAAATTTGACAATAGGGCCCGTGAAATAACACAATGGGGAAAACTACCTGTTGCCTAGCCTGACAACCAGAGTTCACACCCCCTCCCCAACACACACTAAATATTCACTTTGTTGTCTAAAAGAAAAGTAAGACTGTGTCTGAATTCTCCTAATTTAACAGGAGCTTTCTGAGGCTTGTGTATTTTAAAAAACATATTAGTCTTGACAGTTTCTTCCATGTACAAATGAGTTTTAATTGTTGGGGCTGGAGGGATGGTTCAGTAGGAAGAGCACTGGCTGCTCTTTTAGCGGTTCTGAGGTCAGTTCCCAGCAACCACATGGTGCCTCAGACAATGACAATGGGATCTGACGCCCTCTTGTGGCCTGGAGGTGTACACGGCAATGGAATACTCAAAATACATGAAATACAAACATTAATACATCTTTAATTGTTTTTACCTGTTACTACCCCCCCCTTTCTACTGGGATGCTTTTACTCAAGCAGCCTCCTTTTGCTTTCAGGCTTCTGTTGCCTGTGACTGAGCTTAGTTCCTGTCGTTGAACAAGCATGGGTGGGAAGTTAGCCACCCTGTCACTGGAGGAAGTGACAGCCTGGAGTAGATAGATCCTTTGAAACAAAGACTTACACTGTAGCTCAGGCTAATCTAGAAGTCTCTGTGTCACATGTATCAATACTCTTGCCTCAGCATTTGAAGTAACAAAATTACAGGCATGAGCCATTACACCAGCCTTCTAATTCATCATCACAGAGTCCGAAGCAGGGTTTAGTGTTTGAGGAAGGAAATGAGCTTATACTTTTAGAATGATAGTACCAAATATCATTATATAATTTTAAAAGTATGAATTGATAATTAGTGTTTTAATTAAAACATATATCCACAAATAGAATTTATAGTCTTCTCATAATTAATTATGGCTGTTTATAAAGTAACAAATCATGTCTTATTAAAGTTTATTTAATAAAACACAGGCTGGTTACCCAAGAGTAATGTTAAAAGCATTCAAAGTACTGTACCTTGTAGCTCCCAGACTTTCAAAGGCGTCATTTCTTTGCTGCTCTCAATCAGGTACTTTTGGAAAATTGTAAGATTATCTTTAAGATCTGAATATATTTCTCTGCATCAGAATATAAAGTAATGTTAACTGTCAATATTTACCACAAATTGTGATACAAGTAATATACTTTTGGAATACTTTCTTATAAATAGAAAGAAGCTTATCATTCAGAATTAAGATAATAAATTGTGATATAGCTATAGTCACTGAATTTAAAGAGGAAGATAAATATGTCTCCTTTTAAAATACATAAAGCAAAAAATCTGGAGGGCTGGATTCTCAGTTACAACATTACCTGTAAAAGATGAATGGAAGTCAGCAGAATTGTCAACTTATTACATTGCTTAATTTCAATGTCTTAAAAATTAACATTGCTTCTATGTTTTAAAACAGAAACAAATTCACAACTGAAGACAAATAAAACTTCCAATAGCAAACTTCACCCAAGAGATTCTTCTCTGTAAGAATTTGTTCTAGTTCTTTAAAGTTTCGCCTCTGACCTACATAACAAGCTCAAGTCAGGTAACTTTGTCCAGTGTAAACATATAAGCATCTTTTAGAGGATCAAACAGTAATGTAGTCAAATGGCATTTAACTATACACATGGTATAATTACCTTTCCTGTGTTGCTCATGAAATCATGATGCAGTATCCTTTCTTGTTTAATTAGAACTCTTTGTCTTAGGCTCAAGTTACTTACTAATACCAGCCAGGGTTATCAGTGTAGGCAGAACTTTTAAACCAAAAAAAGCAACTACTAGTCTTAAATATTTTACATTGGTGTGGATTTTTATATAGTGAGATAAATTTGAGGCTAATTTTATTATGTGTATTTTTGTTCCTACTCCTGTTTGGGGTATTGTGTTTACACAGCTTATTGAAAAATTTAATGTATAATAAAAATGCAGATTAATAGTCATCTATAATAGTCAAATACAGCCTTGTTAGGTATGTTTTCAAGGTCATACACTGATATATCTAGATACACAGATGGTCTTCAAACAGTTCAAGGACCTACAGAATATGGCATTTAATACGCTTAATAACCTAAGGCTCTTCATGACAGTGAGACACGTCTGCCCCTGACAGAACCAATTTACTTCAGAAAAGGATGATGGTCAGCGAAGAACCTCCATATGGAGTTTGCTTTCTTTGTGGCAAAAGCTAGCCATTTGGGCAAGAGCCTGCCCTTGCCTTGACTGCTGACAGGATGCAGTCCAAATTGGATGAGCAGGACAAAATGAAGTGACTGCTGAGCTTTGCCAAGCCAAGGTGGGACAGTCCTTCAGAATTTCAGCCTCACAGACACGCCTGTCAGATATTCTAGGCCCGGGGCCGGTGTGGGTGCTCCACGATGCAGAGGAGCCTTGGGTGACTGTCCCCGCAGCCAGCTGTTTCTGCCGTTTCTTAAGTTTTGGAAGCTGTTTGCTCTGTGCGTCCTGTTAACCTGGGGAATATTATGTCCTTCTCAGGTGTTTGACAGGATTGAAGAGTAGACAGTTACAGTTCTCCCTAGTCACAGCAGAGAGTAAATTAGGCATGAAACTCTGGATTCCTCAGGAGAGGACATTGGATGAAATATTTTCTCTAAATTTGTATTTCCCAAATACAAATGGACTGGGTATTATAACTGTAATTCTTATTTAAAAACTGTTTTTTTGTGTATAATTTTACTATGTTAAAAGTAAAAGTTTTTTAAAAATTTAGACCAAAAGGTGTAAATTCTATGGAGCAATCCTCCTGTACACTGTGAAAATGTGTTGCTCTCATTGTTAATAAGGTGATGGGCAGATAAACAAGCCGGATTTTGGGGGCAGAGAGAATGCAGAATCTTGGGAGTCATAAGAGTCGCAGAGAGAAACCAGATGAATGTGTCATGTTAAAAGAAAGTACTGCCACATGGCAGAGGGTGGATAAGAAATATGGGTTAATTTAAAATTTAAGAGTTAGCTAGTAACAAGCCTGAGCTATAATATGAGCACTTATAATTAACATTAAGTCTCTGTGTCAGTTATTTAGGAACTGGTGGGTGAGAAAGAAAGTTCACCTACTGAATATACAGAAACAAAGAGAAAACACAAGTTTTTGTCTGATGATAGGAAGAACTTCTATTTCAAATATTTTAAAAAAGACAAAACCACCCAATTAAAATATTCTATTTCAGATTCTAGAATCATGAATATGCAAATTGTACACCAAGGGCTGCACTGCTGCTTGCATAAGTGTTAGTCCTATTAGTTCAGGAGATCTTGTGACTGGGTAACCGCACTCAGAATGGTTTCTTCTAGTTCCATCCATTTGCCTGTGAATTTGAAGATTCCATTTTTTTTTTCTGCTGAGTAGCCCTCCATTGTGTAAATGTACCACACTTTCTCTATCCATTCTTCAGTTGAGGGGCATCTAGGTTGCTTCCATGTTCTGGTTATTACAAACAATGCTGCCATGAACATTGTTGAACAGATGTCCTTATTGTATTGTTAGACCCCCGAAAACTCAAGTATCCAGGGTCCCAGGCCACATTCTCGGTCACCCCAATCACCAGGCGGATTCGAGAGCTTGTTGCAAACTGCACGAGGCTTTATTGTAATTTAACGAGCTAACCCCATGTTAGCTCGGATCTTTCCCCCACCCGCCATGGCGGGTGGCTAGAAAAGACAGTTTGAAACCGCTGTGCACAGATCTTTATAGGGCAGCGTAAGGGGCGTGTCTAGGGGTATGCACAGGCTCACGATTGGTGTGCCTCCAGGCTTGGAGGGCTTG